AGGGAAAGATCTGTAATAGGAGGAAAAAAATTAGGTGATATGTAACACTTTACATTTATGAGCTTTTATAAGTGAAAAGATTTCAAAATGTTTATCTGAAAAACCATTTTAACTGTTACACCACTTGGTGACTTAAGGGCCTAGACTTTACATTTAAAATTCATCAATTAAAGCAAGGCATCTATCCACACTTGTAACAAAGAGTGATTTGTGAATAAGGGGAAAGCTAGAAGTGCACAGGTGTTGATGCACATGTGAGTTAGAGTAAGGGAGTAAGTTAAGAAGCACTTTTTGATGTGAATCACAGAAAAGAATAATGACATAGGTGTAGGAACTAGGAACAGGTGGGTCAAGCTGAATCAAATGCTTGTGTTTGACTAATCTTTGACATGAACACTTGAGGATCAAGTTTCACTGCAAATTTAATTGAAAATTTCAGGAATGAGAATTCTTCTTTATTCCTGACTTATATAAACATTATCACACAACGAATATCTCTTCATGATGCACTGCAATAAAACTTATAAAACATTATTTCTTATCATTAGGGGATATCAACAGTTGGTGTACTAGCACACTTCCTATATATGCTTTTCTTTCCAATCGGGGAAAACAATTTCTTTCAGATTATAATAACTTTTGTATCTCTGTTTCACGACTGAATATGGCTCAATATTTATTTTCCTAATTTACTGAAGTTGTCCCTAAAATATTTTTAGGACATAAATATTTAATTTCAACATTATACAGGCTTTTAGCCCGTAATATGGGATTATGATAAATAATAATTTCAACTCAAATATTTGCTATATGTTTGATCTTTTCCTAATTCTTCCTTGAACCAAAAATACAACTAAATAAAGTCTTATTAAATTATAGACTACATAAAGTGCCCTAAGTGATTATTGTCCTAGACCACATGATTTCTGAGGCCTTTCTTTTAATTTGTTCCAAAAGGTACTCTTATTGGCATGACAGGGGAGCCCCACCATCATATTACCCTATGTTTATCTTCATGGCATAATATTTTTGTTGAACTTTCTGGTGGATATTAGTAGTTAAAATGGAAGTGACATTTATTAACTACTATCATTTTTTTTATAAAGATCAGTCGTTTAAAAGTTACACTGATTTTAATTAGTAGAAATAACTGTTTCAAAGGATTGGCTCATGTGATAGCTTTGACAAAATGCTCTTTATGGATTTATTTATTTATTTATATGTTGTTATAAAAATGAAAAGAAAAATCTGACAGACTTAAACTTCTTGTTCAATGTTCAGAGTCTCTTTAATGGTTATTCTATTCTCAGTGCAAAATCACATTTCTGTCATTCACATTTGTGATAAGTTTTCTCAAATTAGTTTGTTGAAAATATTGATGGTCATGACCAGATACACCTTTTTATTCCTTTTCCAACTATGTGACAACCTAGGAAATGTTTTATATTATTAAAAGCAATTACAATAACAACAAAGTTCGAATCTAAAAATTTGTGCTTACAACGTTTGTTGCCGATAGACACAGTGAGTTGCTTGATTGTATATATGAATCAAGTATCATGAGCAAGTCTTTAGCTGATTATAGTGAGCAGAAGTTTTGTCCTGTTACCAAGGTTGTTAAACCCAAAACTACGTAATATCATGCAGTTTCCATAGATCTGATTCGTAAACTCATAAGAATTTGTATACCTAATATAAAAATAATATTATTAAATCTATTAATATGCATAACTTAATACTCGTAACACAATAACAACTCGAATCCAATTCCATCAGAAAACAAAGTAGCATAGTACACTTAGATACGATCAACCTACATAGATGATCAAATCATACCTAAATTTATAAATAAACAAATCCTTAAATTGAAAACATTAAAAAAGAGCTAATTTCTTCGAATCATTTGAGCTATAGTAAAGCGTTACATCTACACTGGCTTAAAAAAAATGAGCAGCATAAAACACTGTCACTGTGGGGTCAATGGGAGGCAGCAATTACATTTGATTTCACTCGAGATTTTATGAGGGTTTAACAAACTTTCTGGAATTTATTCAGAAAAAAAGTCTGACAAACTTAGCTCTTATCACTGCTAAACATCTTGGTGATACAATGTCAGAGATAAAGGTCTTCAATGTCAATACATAGTGGCTAGTGAACCTAAGGTGTGATCCGTCTATAATATAGAAAAATCAAGAATCACCAATATTTTCTTTTCTCTATTTCATTAACCCAATTTTTCTCCTTGTTTATTGCTTAGTGATTATTATCTGAAAACTGCAGTTTGAACTCTGAATAGTGTTTTCCTCACAAGTGACGAAAACATTTATGTTGTTTTTTTTATTTTAAAAATAAAACACAAATGCCACCTGCATATATTTTGCACAAGTGTACCTACGGGCCATCCATGTAGGGAAATTTAACTAAAG